TCCAGACTCAGCCCTTGTTCTCAGAAGCCAAGGCGGGTGATGGTGCTCTCATGACGTGTGTTTCTGAAACCATGGGATAGATGCTGAATGCTGGATTGGGAATGGCCAGGAACCACAATAGTAGCCCCATGGGTTCTTAGAGCTGCCCGGTGGCTGGGGTTTTTATTGAACAGCTTGGCTCCTCGTTCATTCCACACCCGTTTAGATAGTTAATCACTCCGAGTCTCCTTCACCACTTGCCCTTCTAATTCAAGGGCTCAAAGTTGGGCAGTGATCCTGGCCTCTCTGAAAGAAAACCTGTGATGGACTGGTGGAACTGCTCCCTGTGTCTGGGCTCCCACCATGGCTGCAGTTGGGTCAGTAGGCCTGGCTCCTTGTTAAATGGACACTGGGTGCTCTGAAAAGCCCGCTCCTTGCTACTTTACCTGAGCATATAATAAAATGGAACTGTCTCCTGTGGGACAAAAGGAGCCTCCTACAAAAGCCCAGCCTCCTGGGTCCTGAACAGCCAGGAGAGTTGAGAGGGAGGGAGCCATATTGAGGAGGGTCTGGGTAACTCACAGAAAACGTGGCTCCTGTAGAAGAACTGAAATGGGACACCTGGTAGCTTACTCTCACCAGCGCCCCACCCCCAGAATAAAAACAATAGGCTCCTGGGAAGGTTGAGTTGATTTACCTTTCTGATGGGCCTGTCTGCTTAGTGTGTCTGAGTCTGCATGTTTAGTGTGAGCCCTGAGAGTCCCAGAGGGGCCAAGTCTTACAGCACCTCTGGAGAGCAGAGCCACAGGGTACAGTAGGCTCTTACTCAGCAAAGAAGCCTCCTCTCTTCCCTTGTAGAGGCACAGGTAAGACTACAGAGACATGGAGGCCCTGCCTGTGGCTCTGCTCACAGAGAGCTGAAGTGCTCACTGGAACCTAAGATAGAGGCTACCTTTGTAAAGGCTCATCTTCGTGTTGATACTTGGTTATGAGATCATGCAGCCATAAGACATGACTCATTACCTCCAGAGCAAGGAGCAGACCTGAAGACAGGGAATGAGTTTTGCCATTTATAATTGGGTGCACAGCCGTACTGTGGGTCTAGTCAGGAAAGGATGAACATAGTATCTGGTCCTGGCTCTCTTTCAGAGGCAAAGCCCCACTGATGAGAGATTGTCTGGCCTTCCTGTTTTGCCATTTTACTGGGAGAGGTACAGAGCTCCCATATTGCGTCCTAGAGAATGTTCCTGAATAGACTTCACTGGTAAATGCTACTGGGCACGAGCCAGTTGAGATGCCAGCTCTGCCCCATAGGGGGCACTGTTTTTGCCTTTTGAGCTCTTTGATTTGGGAAGTCTGAGTAGCTTTAAGATTTAGGTGCTAAGGCTCAACCTCTCCACAAACACCCACCTTTCCATCTCCTCATGAGATCCTGAGATGTCTAGGAAACATCCCATGTCAGGCTGAGCACTGGACCTGAGAAGTGAGTCTAGGGCTTACTAGAAGGTGCTTGCATCGAACAGGATCTTACCTGTCTTTGCTCCCCTCTTACAGAATCGACCATACGCAGTAAGACAAACTGCTGAGTGCAGTAGGATGCTTGGGTGTTTCTGTGATACCCAAGGCTAATCTTAATAACAGAATTACTCATCACTACCTTGTGTGCCTTTGACATAGCGAACTCATTTCATTCTGTGGCAGTCTTGCCGATAGATCTTTTTGTCTCTGTTTTTCCGAGCGGGAGACTGAGGCCTTGGCACTTAAGAGTTCTGAGTGGAACCTTTAACAAGGCAAGGTGGGGTGGACCGTCTCCTGGTTCTGACTTATCAGACATATATCCAAGGCATAGCTGCCCATGTTGACCAATGGTCAGTGTTCATCATGGAGCTCCCTGGCTAGAGCTGGACTTGCTTATCTCTGGATGGACCAGGAAGATCCTAGTCTATATATGGAATAATTTTTATTAATATCTATATTTCACTGCTGGTTCCAGTGGTTCATCTTCTATAATAGATGGCATAAAAGAATTTTTTGTGCTGGTCCAAGTGACTTTTGTATATATAATTTGTATATATAATGAAGGCAAAGTGTCGTTAGAGTAAGAAGAAATTAATAAAAGGAAAATAAAGGAAATGTTATGCATTGACAGTGTGTCTTGTCTGTTCATATACACAGAGTATTTGAGACCAATATGAGAGCAGGAATTCAAACTGGAGTGACAGCAATAAAACTACCTTGGTTGAGCCATAAATAGGAGTTGCGGAAGCTCATATGTGAATTTGGCTGTGGGCTTTCTTGCAGCTAAATGTGAAAAAGAATCCCAGTCAGACATTCTACCATCAAGTGTAGGGATACGGTACCAGAGTGGAGACAAATGACGATTGCCCAGAAAATAGCCAGGTGGTGAAGGAGCATGGATCTTTGTCAAGGTAGTTTGAGTGACATCGTTTGCTCAGGAAGTCTGGTGAGACTGTTCAGAGATCCTCCTCTTCAGTTAACACCACTCAACTGATAAATGCTTGAATCCCCCCTCCTTGCCATAGGGCAAAACACAGCACTTAATGGCCATTTTGCAAGAATCTTGCTCATTTGAGAGTGGCGTGAGATCTAGCTCATTGCTGTGGGGCTTGTCAGGATGAGTAAATCATCATGCACTTTGGTTTCAGATCCAGGCATTGGCTACATAAGTGATCATCTTCCGTGATTATAGAAACCTAGCCTTTACATGCAAGTTATTATTTAGGGAATTATTTGTTAATATCTATATTTCACTTCTGGTTCCAGTGGCTCATCTTCTATAATGGATGGCATAGAAGGATTTTTTTTGTGCTGGTCCGAGTGACTTTTGTATATATAATGAAAGCAAAGTGTCTTTAGAGTAAGAAGAAATTATTGAAAGGAAGGTAAAGGAAATATTATGAATTGACAATGTATCTTGTATGTTAATATATACACAGAGTATATATACATATATGTCTTTATCTATATATATATTGCATTTTAAAAATACTACTATGAAGGGCTCTGGGGAGGTGGCTTAGTTGACAAAGTGTTTGCCATGAAAGAATGTAGGTTTGACTTTGGATCTGTAGCATCTAAGTAAAAAGTGTAGAGGTGCACACCTCTAATCATAGGGCTAGGCCGGTGAGGACAGGATGACCCTGGGGCTCACTGGCCAGCCTGACTAACTGAATTGGTGGGCTCCAGGTTCAGTAAGAGGCCCTGTCTCAAACCACTAAAGTGAGGGAGACTCAAGGAAGAGGCCCAAGGTTGTCCTTGGTGTGGCATTCATACACATAAACACACACAAACATAAACACACACACACACCAACACACACACACACCAACACACACACACAGACACCATGTGCACAAGCATACACAGATTTCTGTACAGTACACAAGTCTTGTTCATTTGCCAAAGCCTGAATCACAGTGAATTATAGACCCAGGAGTAACAGCCGTGCTGGACTCCCTGGATTCTTGGGAGGCTCAGCTGTATGAGGAGGGACTTCCTTTATAATATGTCCCTGAGTAAGGATGATGATCTCTTTGTGATAGTTGCTCTGGGTGACTGAACAGTTCAGGACACGATTCTCATGGCATCTGCTATTCCTCATTCTTTTGAGCTTCTGCCTTGGACTGAAAGAGCTGCCTGCATTCCATGCCCTTCCTCCTGGATACTAGGAGGAGGAAGCATTGAAGACTGACTAGGAAAGCTGCCCATGGGTACCTGTTTCTTCCTGTGGTCTGAAAGGTGAAACAGGGAAGTGACTGGCACAGACATCCAAGGCACTCCTAGCTTAGGACTAAACTCACACAGACTCCCAAACCGAATGCCCTGCCTACTCGCCTTCTCCTCTCCAGTGGACTGAGAGGCAGCTATGTGGACAGGGCCCAGAAATGAGATGGTCTATGGCGAGGGAAGGCACTTAGGTACCCTGGAACCAACCTTAGGATCATCAGGAGGCAGACTCATTCATATGTGTGTGGCTTCCTGATTGGACGGGTGGCACACTTTTGGATAAAAGCTTACCCACAAAAGAACGTCTGCCTATTGGCTCTGCCTACTTCCAAGCAAGCCTACAAAGTTGATGTGTTGGTATCCTTTGAGCTAGCCCCTCCTTCCTCCCACTCTTGACCCTACCATCCACTTTAGTCTCGGTCCTACGCTCCACTAAAATGTGTCACCCGATTTCCCAGAGAACTGTTGGACTGTGTCCTCATCTTTCATCTCATCTGATCAGTGATTTGATCCAGTCGTACGCTGGCCACTGGCTTTTCATATGTGCACGTTGACACCTCTCTGTCTGCCCCTGTTCTACCACTACAGGAGCACTTAGAATTTCAGAAGGCAGGGAATAAGCATGAAGAATTTCCCAGGGACTAGAAAAGATTGGCCATCCCTTCCTCTTTGCTATATCTCGTGAAAGCCCTCCACGATAACCTTCTCCACGGACTCCTAGTCCTGAGCAATGCTGGGACGTCTCAGGGTTTGGAGAAACTCTGTGACTCTCACCATTCACCAGGGGACAGACAGATACATAGGGCCTTCTGCAACCCAGCAAAACTGCCCCTATATCTCTAGAGCTTAAAAAACTATTGACCGCAAGTGGTTAGAATTCCTTAAATATGTTTGCAGCCTTAGAGATGGCTTTGAAATACTGGGTGGTGGGGGGGGAGTGTCCATCATTTCCGACTCCTCTGTCGTGTTGGCAGTCCAGCCGCCACACAGGCTGTCATGCCTTCATTCAGTTTGAGGCTCATTCTTGACAATCATTGGTGTTGTTTGCGGAGGAGTGTATATGTTGCCATTTCTCAAATTAGGAGTGTTAAGGCATTATTACATACAACGCTCACACTGGCTCCCACAGCAATGTGAATAACTTGGTAGCAGGGGAGCCGGGATAAGAACTAAATATTTTTCCCCTGCAGCTATATAATGATTGTCAGCATTAAGGCATGTCTCCTTGTGTTTTCTAGATGCTCTAAGTGAAACCCGTCAAGTCATCTATGAAAATGGTGGCCCTATCCTTAAAGATCTGTGTCCGCCACTGCAATGTGGTGAAGACCATGCAGTTTGAGCCGTCTACAGCTGTGTATGACGCCTGTCGAGTCATTCGGGAGAGAGTACCTGAGGCACAGACCGGGCAAGGTACGTCAATGGTTATTCATTGGCTTCTGAAAATGTGGGTGGATGTCCCTTAACTCTGTAGCTAAAGGGACACACCTAGACACATTTTAAACGTCTCCGTTTCAAACCAGGCATGAAAGTTCACGTCTGTAACTCCATCTCTCTGGAGGCAGAGTCGGGCTGGTCTCTCTGAGTTCAAGGCCAGTCTGGTCTACATAGCTAGTTCCAGACTATCCTGTACTACATAGCGAGGTCCTGACTGGAGGGCTGGGGGCTGGGGAATCAATTTTAAGTGGAATGCCTTTTTACATTACTCCCCGAGAAGAACAAGGCTTACCTTGTCAGTGACCTCACTGGCATTGGCCCTGATGTGGATATGCCTGTTATCTTGACTCTTTAGGGGCACATCCTGCTCTGCAGTTCATACACCACATTCTGATGGCTCACTGCCTCAGTCAAATAAAGAATACCGTCCTTACCTGACCCATACCGACGCCATGTAGCCTCAGCACTGTGTAAAAGTCTGACAGTGCAAGCCCTTTGAAGGGGCTTCATGAGTTTTACCTCAGTTTGTAAAAGATTCTATTTTTAATTATGTCTATGTGTGTATGTGCGTATATCTACATGCAGGATTGTATATGTGTGAGTGCAGGTACCCACAGAGTCCAAAAGAGGGCATGGTTTATGATACCCAGATTGCTGAGTTCTAAATTAACCAGAAATAAAAATTAGCTGACAGTCCCTATCTGACTCTTAAGGTTTCTAATGTTTCTCTGATTCTTTTCCATTCTTTCTTATTATTTTCTGACACGGTTAAAACTTCCTTCGGGCTGAACTGATACAAGTTATGGTAAAGGCCCCTGTAGGCTCAGAAATACCTTCCTGATGTGTTATGGGACGCTCACCCTTCTGAAGGGCTCCAAGGATTCCAGTTACATTAACGAAAAGATGGCCTAGGGAGATGGTGCAGTCAGTAAAGTGCTTGCTGCATAAGTTTCAGGGTCTAAGTTTGATACTGAAAACCTACATAGGCTTGAAATACCATCACCTGTGATGAGGAAACAGGAAGATCCCTGTGGCCTCTGCCAGCCAGCCTAACTGTCAGCCAACTGCAGACCAATGAGAAACCCTGTCTCAGTGAACAGGGCGGATGGCACCCTGGGGAGTGACACTTGAGGCTGACCTCTGCCATGCATGTGCACACTCCTCCCCACCCTCCTCACCCTGGGAGAAGTCTAGGTGGGAAATGACCCCGCTCCCCTCTTGCTCCAGGCCTCTCCAAACTGAGTACATTGAAGTAAGAGGCCTTTATGAGGAATACTAAGTTTAATTCTTCAACTGTTTTCTTTATTTTGTGGTATTTGGTGGAGTAAGCTTCACCTCATAGGGAAGTCCTACATAGCTTGTTGTTGCTTTTTTAGACTCTGTTTTGTTATAAAGTGCTCATCGTTTAGCCCAAGTTGGCTCAGTCTTTCCACCTCAGTTTCCCTAAGGCTAAGATTACAGAGCACTCACTGCCATTTTGTAGACCAAATTTTTATCACATGCTCTTTTGCTATGGCCCATCTTCCCTGCTTTGCCTCAGTGGCCCTCGACAGAGGTGGTTACTGCCTCCGTTTATTCTTCTTCCCTGTGGTAGCCTGGGTAAGTGAATCTCTGACAGCAAGGACTGGAAAATGAAGGCAACTTCAGTTGAAATGTAGAGTGCTCTGTTCCTGAGGATTCTCTAAACGCGTGTGTGCCTCCAGCCCACTGGTCCGTATACTCCAGCCTTGCTGTGCTCATTGAATCTGCTGGGAGGCTCCTCCCAGACTGCCTCAGTGGGAGTGTGTGGTGCTATGCTGTTAGTGAGAAGCAGGTCGCTCTGGTGACGGATGGTATCACCTTCCTTTCTGCATCAGTGTGCTTGGTCCAGTGATGGCTTTGTCCCCACTTGGCCTCCTCTTTTCTATTTTCTAGCTTCTGACTATGGGCTGTTTCTCTCTGACGAAGACCCAAGGAAAGGGATTTGGCTAGAAGCAGGTCGGACACTGGATTACTACATGTTGCGGAATGGGGTACGTTGTTGGTCCTGCTTTCTTTTTAATTTTTTAAATTTATGTATGTACATGTTTATGGGTGATTTGATTGCATGTGTGTCTGTGTATACTTTCCTGTGTGGTACCAATGGAGTCCAGAAGACGACATTCGGTCCCCTGAAACTTTCGTTATAGACTATTATAAGCCACCATCTGAGTGCTGAGAATCAAACCTGGGTCTTCTGGAAGAGCAGATAGTGCTCTTAACCACTAGGCCATCTCCTAAGCAACATCTTTAAAAATCCTCGTGCTCTTAACCACTAGGCCATCTCCTAAGCAACATCTTTAAAAATCCTTCTAAGTAACATTTCTTGATTTGTATGTCATTGTGTGTGGATGTTTGTATGTCATGGTGTGCATGAAGAGGCCAGAAAACAACTTTCCAGAGTTGGTTCTCTCCTTCCCTTATGTGGGGCTGGAGAACTAAACAGCCTTGGTGCCAGGCACCTTCCCCACTGAGTCACCTTGCTGGTTCACTGGTGCTACTTTCTGTGCGTTACTGCTGGAGGACTAGCTATGACATCCCACTTCATGATAGCATCTAATCCAAGAGCCTCTAGTTAGTAATTCAGTGAACCTGTGTGGCTGTCCAGGTGGTGAGAAGATTCTAGCCAATCTAAAATTCTTGAAATTCTGCAGCCAGCTTGAAATGGTTTGTGATTAGCCTTTCCATGCCAAATTGGGGCTTGGCAGTTGTGAGACGAGCTACTTTCTCTTCCTTGAGTGGGTATGAGGTGTCCCTGGGCTGCATTAGAAACCAGGGCTGCGTGGGCGCAGCAGAGATGTCCTAGCACTACCCAGGGCTTGTTTGAGAAGAGGAAGCTTGAACTGGAGATGCGCCTTTACTGACTCTCAGTGACAGAAACAAAAGTTACCTCTGTGGCTTAAAGGATGAATAAAAACATGAAAAGCATTTTCCCCCCCTTAACCCCCATGATCCTGGGTTTCCTGTGCCTGGTGAAGTAGGCTTATCAGATTGGCCAGGGTTCCAAAAAGCAAGAGTGTGATATCAGTTAATTTGTGGTACGTCTTCCTGTCTATAGCTTCTAAGAATTATAATGAAAAAGAGGTCTCCTATTTTGAAGTAACCTCCAACCTCATTCCTATTTTAAGAATCTTATCACCATCCTGTTTCATCCTGTGTCTTGTTAAACTATTCTTGCTTTGATACGCACCTAATATGAAGCCTTCTGGTGATATTATTTATGTCTTTCATTTTGTGGACTACATACGTAGTAAATATATACAGAAAAGATTCCGAAGTAACATTTTAAAAATAAATGTCCATTTTGTGTGTATGGGTAGCAAACAGAATGTTTCATGATGACAAACATGACTGCAGGCTCATTCCTACTGTCTGATGTATCACCCTCTCCTCAGCCTCCTTATACCACCCTTTCCCAGCCATTGGAGCACATAGCCAGCTCCGCTTCAGAGAACGTAGGTTTTGGTCATTGTAAGCTACAAGTATTCCTTCTTGGAGGGCAATTTCATTATATAAGTTTCCCGTAATCCTCACGAAACCCATTACTTAGCGCGCAGAATTCTGTGTGCTAGTCACAGCAGCACCCCCATGAATACTTAGAAAGGCTTTGAAAAAAAAAATCTTGGACAAAGGAAGATGTAAGCATCTTCTGGACTTGATCTCCAAAGAGAAGTACCCCGCGCTGTTGTGTTTTTCAACTCAGTCTGTGGCGGGTGGGGCTTATGTCTAGGACATTCTGGAGTACAAGAAGAAACAGAGGCCTCAGAAAATCCGAATGTTGGATGGCTCTGTGAAGACGGTGATGGTGGATGACTCCAAGACGGTGGGCGAGCTCCTGGTCACCATCTGCAGCAGGATAGGTGAGCAACTCAGCCTTGTCCCTTGGCCATGCCCATGCCTGCAGTATTAACACCTGAGCTCTGCCCACACCTGAGAGATTTCTGTCCTGTCTCTCCATTTGCCCGACATGGTATAACACTCCTCACTGAGCCTCACCAAGCCGTGGTTTATTTCCCTTTGCAGAGTTTCTCAATGGAAATGATTTTTAAATCATTTCAACCTTCCCCACTGATGACCACTGTTTCTTAAATTGTCATGGTTACAGCCAGTGTGACTAGCCCAGATTTGTTTCGTGTTGCTTCTTGTCATTTTCTCCAGAGACCAACCCTGCCTCTTACCGTAGGGTGTCCTTTAATTGCTGCATGAAAGCAGCCTTACCTGTCCTGACATTCCCATCGTGGAAGGGCCCAGTTCATCTGTACACTTCTTGATTGACAGGGTCATGCTTTGGTTCTCAAAAATTAATGGAGTCTAAGCATTGTGCTGTATACCTTTAATCCCTGCAAGCAGGAGGCGGGGATAGACAGGTCTCTGTGATTCCAGGGCCACCATGGTCACCTGGTTGTGAGGACCAGGCCAGAAAGGACTACATTCTGAGACTATGTCTCCAAATAAGTAACTACATAAATAAATAAAGCGTAATGGAATCCTTGGGATGTGGCTCAGTGCGAGATGCTTTGCCTTCATGTTGTGGGTTTAATCTTAGAGAACAGGGGCAGAAACAGAGAGAAGAATATAGGCGAGAGGGTGTGTGTAAGTATGTTTGTGGACTATTGGGTGTGTATAAGTGTGTTTATAGAGAATATTGTACTCAGTACCTTGAATCTGGCTTCCCAACCTGAAGAGCTTGTGTCTGTTCAGGAACTGTGAGGTGTATGCCCTTCCTGGTCCTCAAGTGAGCAAGAGGCCCCTCCTGTGCTCTGCCAACATGGAGCCTCTGCAGTACCCCTGGCCCTAAGTAGAAGCTGATAGTGATTTAATCATGTGTAAATATAACCCAATTTCTGTTATTAGGAATAACAAATTATGAAGAATACTCTTTAATCCAAGAAACCATTGAAGAAAAGAAAGAAGAAGGGACAGGCACACTAAAAAAAGACAGGACGTTGTTACGAGATGAGAGGAAGATGGAGAAGCTGAAAGCCAAGCTACACACGGATGATGACTGTGAGTGTGTGTGTGTGGGGTGGGGAGGCTGGTGGCCCAGGTCCGCAAGCCTCAGGAGCCTGGATCCACCACCACCATTCACATGACTGAAAACTGCGTTTTGTTTTGTTTTAATCTGCAAATGTTCTGATTTGTCTCACTAAAAGACAATACTTGTAAACAACTTTTAGAGTGACGGTAATGATGTTTGACATCTAAAAAGAATCCATTCGTGTCAAACATATAAATCGTGCTCACAATTTCCTACCATCTTGCAAAAAATGTAATTATTGTTTGGGATCTAAAGGCAGCTGAATGGCATGTACACGTAACTAAGCACGCTCCCTCTCCGTCTCTCAAACTTTTCCCTTGGAATTCGTGTGTGCATGGCTGTGTGTGTGTGTGTGTGTGTGTGTGTGTGTGTGTTTATGTGATACAGCCTTTCTTTCATTGTAACTGTCTATAATTATATACTTTTTGTGTCCCTCTGAATTTCTCACACCTAGAGGCTTGCTCTGTATGTGTGTGTGTGTGTGTGTATGTGTGTGTGTGTGTGTGTGTGTGTGTGTGTGTGTGTGTGTGTGTAGTAATAAACAGTCTTTCAGCAGGGAACTTCCATCAAGAAGTTGTTTCTGATATCTTTGGGGAAGATATTTGTAGTCTTTAACACCCACTCCCTAGACCCGTTATTTCCTTAGAGATTAAAATTATAAGATGGTCTCACAGGAGAATCACTTCCAGAGCCACAAGGATAATGCGTACAAAAGTAGCAGATGACGTCAGATGTCCCCAAAGTCATGCTGTGTGGCCCTTGCTGCCCACCGTCCACTGGGAGGGGCTTAGTTCACCACCTGGCTTCCTTCCCTTCCAGTCCCCGTTCCTGCTGCAGCTCTGGGTGACATCATCATTTTCATAATGTTTATTGATCTTTGGAGGTCCTGCCATTTCCTCTGAGTCCTCCTCTGCTCTCTTCTCTTTCTACCTCATTAAATTTCCAGTTACAGACTTCTTTCCAGAAGCCTTTAATAGACAAATCTCAAGGATTTATTAATGTGTACACAGTACCCTCCCAGGTGACTCTGGGAGCGGAGGTCTGTCAGACAGGTTACTTATGCATTTGGTGAGGTTGGTCATAAATACTTAACACAGTGAGTGTGGAGTGTGTGTGTGTGTGTATGTGTGTGTGTGTGTGAGAGAGAGAGAGAGTTGAGGGGACAGAGACAGAGAGAGACTCAGATGTGGAGGACACAGAGGGCTTCAGGGAGTGAGCAGAGGAATGGCTGATGTATGGCTATGTACTACAATGTGAGAACAGGAATCGTAGGACAATGACAGAGTCAAACTGGCCAATGGGGGCAGATGTCATCTCTAGCCTTCAGTTTTGAGTCTCTGTACCACCACCTCATGACTTTAATTTTCTCTCTATTTCCTGTCTGAGAGCAGAGACACTTGCTATGCCTAGTGTCTGTAAACCATTTCTCTAGATAAGACTGACGTAAATAATTGATTCCAAGGAAAACTCTTACAAGTGTTGGATATCTGTCTTGTTACTGTGACTGGACAAGATCTTTAAGTACAGGTGAGATGGTTCAGTGGGTAAGGCACTTGCTGCCAGCCCGATGATCTTAGTTCAATTCCTGGGACCCATATGGTACAAAGAGACAACCCATTCCCATGTGTCCTCTGACCTCTACAGATTCTACACAACATAGCCACACCTCCTCTGCAACATGCACACATAAGATACATAAATAAAATGTAACTAGCAAAAGAAAAGCAAGAGAAGAAGGTATTTAAGGAAGGGATTTTTCCGGTTTGCCTTTCAAGAGCTATGCTCCCTCCATCTTGGCTGGGAAAGCCTGGAAGGAGCAGAGGGAGGCTGGATGCTTGTACTGCATCCTCAGTATCATCAGGAAGGAGAGCCAGGCTGGAGAACCCATTTCCTCCTAGGAGGCTCCACCTGCCAAAGCTTCCACAGTCTTCTCCCAAACCATAGCCAACTGAGCACCCGGAGTTCAGACTCTTCCAAACCAGAAGCTTGATTTCTTAGTACAAAACTCCTTCACCTTCCTTTCTCTGAATTACCAATACATTGTAGCTTGAGATCAATCACACGGATACAACTGTCTCCCTAGGCATCAAGGGCCATGCAGGAGGAACAAAAGGCTTCAGAACTCAGAATGGGGCCCACAGGTTAGGACAGGGGCGATGGGTGTGCCTCAGAGAGGCAGAGCACCCAAGATTACTTGTCCTAAGGACGTCATGCTGGTGGGGAGGTTTGCTCTGTTTGTTGCTTTCACATCCCTCTTAGTCTAAGAATTGTATGGAAACTCTAAGAGGGCTTCCTGCCCCTCCCTGGGCAGTGTCACCAGCACTCACAGTAATGATGCTTGGTCTCTCTCAAGCATTGCTGCTGGAACAGATCGATGATTCTGTCAGCACCCTTGGAAAGAACTTACAAATGTCAATTGTCAGCAGTGACTGCCACCCTTAGAAAGAATTTGGAGATGGAGATTGTTAGTGAAGTTAGGTTAAGATGATTGGCTCGTGGCTCTAACATAGACAATCTTAGGAAACAATGTGAAGTTCAGAAAAGCGCACTCTTAACAGTTGAGCTAGGGATTTTTTTTTAACGTCAGGGAACGAGGACAGTGGCAGCCAGACCAGCCCTAGCTGAGGGCCATCTTTGTTAAAGATGGGCTGCTCAAGGTGATGATTGATTTCTTGTACCCATTTTTGCTCTCAACTTCCTGATATAGTTTAATAAAAATTGCTGATGAATAGATGTGCATTCTGAGAATTTCAAGTAGAAGAAACTGGGTTTTATATAAAAATTTACATTCGTGATTCTTTTAAGATTTTTTTTATAAGATGACTTTCTAAGATAGATAATAAAATCATCGATCCTCCCTTTGTAGCCACAAATTGCAGCCTGCTAGTTAGAGAAACTGACTGAGAAAATTACCTGGCTTGCGCACACTTTGTTAATCTATAACAGGTTGCTTAGTTACGAATGCGAGTGGGTTCTTGGGAATAAATTGTCTTCTTCACCTCTGATATCTAAAACGTTTTTCATGTAAAGGTATTGAGGAACATACTGTTTTTTCACAATCATTCACTAAAAGAAAAATAGAATGTGGTCACATTGTAACTTCTATTCTGTTTGAAAGAGTTTGCTGGGATATGTAAGTTGTGGGGAAAAAAGATAAAGTTGTTGGAATCAGCTCATTGGAGTTTGCTCCATCCACCAAATGTGTGTGTGTGTGTGTGTGTGTGTGTGTGTGTGTGTGTGTGTGTGTG